GGGCCTTTATAGCTGACTTTGCGGTATGGGCTTTGCTCATTGTTGAAGGCCGTATGGTTAATTTCTCTGTCATTTGGTCTCTTGTGGAGAGTTGTCTCATTGGCAATTATACCACATCTTCTTTTTTATATCCATGAACTCAATGATAAGTAAACCAGCAAGACATTTCATCGAGTGCACTCCTTTAACCGTTTGTTGCTGATACCTTACATTTATTTTTCATTGGACCATGAACTTTCATTTTCGGCTGCTTGTTACTGAAAGCAAACTTCTGCATTTCATTTTTTTTTGTATTGTTTCCAGGTGAAAAGAACCCCTGTGATTTTATTTTTTCAGTGTATTAGTATTTATTTGTATTTATCTTTTTCGTTGTTGCTGACACTCAACTTCTGAGATTATATAATTCGGCGATATTTGTATTTTAGAGCCCGATTACGAAGTATAAAGGATCCGTAAATTCATCTTCTTCCTATGTTCTTCTTCCAAAAAGTACTACTAGTATATGATATTGGTTAACTTTTTTTTGTATTTACAGCTAATTTCCTAATGCTTGTAGATTAAAACTTTGGTTAGCTTGCTGGCTTTGTTTGTATAAACGTTTACTCAAGCTTTGTAATTAAGATTGACATCTTCAAACAATATATATATAGGCATAATTAAACCTGTATATTTTATATTTAAATTTGATTGGACGTTATACCAATTACAATTGTACAATATACAAACAAAGCAAGCAAGCTAACCAAAGTCTTGCTCTACATGCATTAGGAAATTAGCTGTATTGCATATCTAAGATAGTAAACTTTACCATCGAATATATGCTTGGACAATACAAACAAAAGCATTATTAGTAGGTCACCTTGACCTTCATTTTCCGATTGAGCAACTTGATTATATTATTAGCTAACAAGGATATTTGACATGCTTGCAAATGAGACAAGCATCGCCAGAGAGAGAAATAACAATATATTTACCCTCGCAAACAAATTTGAGAGTGTTAGAATAATAACTCTGCCCGTCCGTCTGTCGACGAATCATCTATATATATTTTTTATAGATTTACTTTGTGAATATTGAGTTTGGCGAGTTAAGAAAGTCGAGTTGAGAGTAACAAAAGTCGAGTTGAGAGTTACAAAAGTCGAGTTGAGAGTTTTTAACGTCGAGCTGCTCAACATTTAAAAGAAAGTAATGGTTCGGTAAAATGAAGTTTATTCTTCAAATACCAGCTGTTTGTATGTTTATAATCAGATTTTTTTCATCTCACGTTTGTTATGTACTCTCTCTCAGTATCTCAAAAGAGAGGCGAAAGATACCAGAGGGACAGTCAAACTCATACATTGACACAAACAAAATTAACAAACGAATTTTTAGAATTCAAGATTCGAAACCGAAGTGTGTTATATGAAGCAGAGAGAACAGGAATGTTACACGATCGAGGCATCAGATTTAAATGTCATTAAAAAATCGAAGTTATGGATCCTGCACAATCAAAAGGATTTCCCTTTACAGATTTGGTTTCGCCATACAAGGCCGAGTTTTGTTGTGATGCAGCCGATATGAGTATATCCATCTTCACTGCCTTACGGTCATTCTGTGATCTTAACAATCTGATAAATTACAGTGACAGTGTTTAACTGATGTTAAACTCTCAGAATTCGTCCTAGAAGATCGAAGAACCAAACAAAAACTGAGGTAATCGCACGAACCCCATTACAAACGAGAACAGGATACGTGTCTCTTACTAGGAATGCATCACCAGCTATGCCAAGATCTGCTTCAGTCTCTTAAATACTCTGATACACGAAAAGATTAAGTCAACTTGGCCTAATCATAACAATTTATCTTTGAATCTTTTGGGAACACACGAGAAAGAAGATATGTAAGTGTGTGCTGTTTGCAAAACCCCATGTTTTTGAACATTGAGTTGGGTACCAAAATGACGAAGATGAGAGGCGAAAGATACCAAGGGGATATTCGAACACAGACTGACAACGCCGTGGCAAAAAATATTAAAACCAAAAGACAAGCTACATGCAGTATGTATATACAAAACACAATATACAAAACTAAATACTGAGCAACACGAACCCCACCAAAAAACCCGGGGCTAATCCTTGCTCTGGAAGGGTTAGCAGAGATCATGTTCCACATGTGATATCAGTCGGGTTGTTCATGTTCCACATGTGATATCAGTCGGGTTGTTCATGTTCCACATGTGATATCAGTCGGGTTGTTCATTAGGTACAAATCCGGTGATGAGTCTAATTCGATAGGTCACATTCGAGGGAGAGAGGATGTGATTGTGATTACGACATTTGAAACATGTACGTGGTCATCTGTGATACAGATATTCCATAACGGTCAACAAACACGTGATGGCGTCCGTTTAATTTTTGTTGAGCCTTCGACTTTTGTCGAAAAAGCGAGACATAGCGATCCTACATTCTGTCGTCAGCGTCGGCGGTGTCCACAACTATTCACTCTGTGGTTAAAGTTTTTGAAATTTTAAGAACTTTCTTAAACTATCCTGGATTTCTACCAAACTTGAATAGAAACTTTGTTTATGATCATAAGATAGTATCCAGAAGTAAATTTTGTTAAAAAAATCTGTTTTTCCGTATTTTACCTTTAAATGAACTTAGTTTTTCTGCCAGTTAACATTACATTCACTCTGTGGTTAAAGTTTTTAAAATTTTAATAACGTTCTTATCCTGGATTTGTACCAAACTAAGACAGAAGCTTGTTTATGATCTAAAGCTAGTATCTAGAAGGAATATTTGTAAAAAATAATTTCCTGTTTTTTTGTATATAACTTATAAATGGAGTTAGTTTTTCTTCCAGTTCCCATTATATACAGTCTGTGTTTAAAACATTTATTAGATTTGTAAAGAAGGCGAGACACTATGTTCCGCGGAACCCTTACAAATTTTTGAAAGGATGATTTCAACTTTCAATTTTAACAACGTAACACGAACAAGTCAACCATTTCAAAGATATCAGTAATTTCACTGCTTGCTGGTACTAGTATAGTATAATAGTCCCAGCTGCTTGTTGAAAGAATAAAGTTTTCAAAAGTTGGATTTTTTTGGGTTGTGTTTCGTGCTGATATATTGAGTTATGCCCTTTAACACTCGAACTATTTTTTTAAGGTGATTGTGGATCGCTCACAATATAAAAATAAGGAGATGAAGTATAATAACCAATGAGACAGCTATATACCAAAGTTCAAATGACGAAGATCAAATCAGTTGTGGGTCATGTATATATGGCCTTCAACAATGAAAATAATTCATACCGTATAGTCCGCTATAAAAGGTTCCGACATGGAAAATATGCAACAATCAAACGAGAAAACTTACTGACTTTTTTATACAATACAATTAACAAAAAAAAAAAAATCAAAAAAATATGACAGTCATTATTTTTGTCTGTCTCCCAATTTCAAACACTCAAGAGTTTAGTATTTTCAAGTGTATGCACTTTTTCTCAATTTTTCATCCACACTACAACAATAACCAACATGAAGTGGCACATAAAAATAAGAAGATGTGGTATGATTGCCAATGAGACAACTCTCCACAAGAGACCAAATGAAACAGAAATTAACATATATAGGTCACTGTACGACCTGCAACAGTTAGCAAAACCCATATCACATAGTTACCTATAAAAGGCCCCGAAATGACAAATTGCGGATTAAAACAATTCAAACGAGAAAACTAACAGCCTAATCAATGTACAAAATAATGAACAAAAACAAATATGTTACAAACAGCTGCAAACGGCAACGTTTGAATTTCATGCTCCTGACTTGGGACGGGATCTTGAATAATGTGGCCGGGTTAATCATGTTTGTGAGCGCTCGACCCTCCCATAACCATGGGAAATTAAAGTTACACCACAATATAAGAAAATGTAAAAAGCAGTTGCAAATGGCTTAAATCAATTCCAACATGTTTGATAACGCCAAATTAATAAAATGTCTATGTGCCAAGTCAGGAACCTGTAATTAAGTGGTTGTCGTACACGTTTAGGTTCTTACCGTCATTTTGTTCCAATTTTAGTTATTGTTTTTCAAACAAAAAAAAACAGAAGTCACGCCGTTAGTTCAACAGTCTTGTTTTGTACATTATAGACGACCGTGCGACAGACCCAGAGGTAATTACATCCACTGGTGGATAGTTTTCTCATTGGTAATGATGTCACATCTTACTTATACATTTCTATATCACTGAAGATGTGAAAGTGAGTTTTCAATTATCAATCGAAGAAATCATTTTTTCACCATTTTTCTTACAACAGATAATCGACTTTCCTATGGTTGCTGTCTTCTCGACTTGTTCTTTTGTTCACACGACACAGGCACTTGTCTCAGACAAAGTTTCCTATATACCTTAAAATACCATATTAATGTATATAAGAATTTTTTTCTGAGACAAAGTGCCTGTGGATCACACGAGACAGATTCCATACCTTATGAAGTATGGAAAGAAACTAGCATCATTTTTCACTTTCCATTCCGCTATAAGTATGATGTTCTCTTACTATAATGATAATGCAATATCAATTGGTGTATCAGTTCTCTATGTTAAACTCATCTTCCCTGCGAAATTTTGATATGTAATACGACGATGTTGCTTCATCTTTTGTATTTTTGCCAATTACAGATGAGCCTGCGAACCGTGTTCAAAGGAGCCTCTTGTTCTGTTTTTTGTAGTGGCATTGTCTGTTTTTCGTCTACCTATAATTTGAATCTCTGGCTAATGTTTATTTATTTTTTTATCTGTTGAATGTATTATTAAGATAATTATGGAATTTAAATGAAAATTTGCAATATGTTTTTATATAAATTTATTACTACAAGAATTTTTCACTTATTTAATCTCAAAAACGGAATTGAGTTATTTCGCTTTGATTTTTCCCGGGAAATTTTAACTTGTTGTTCGGAAGTCGAAATTTTATCGCTTTTCCTATAAGGTAAAACCAAAGAAACATTGTACACAAAGCGTTGCGGCATACTATCACAGCTGACAGAATACAAACGACAGTGCCTGAGAAAGGACAAGTAACTTTCAATTGTGAATTAACAAAGTGTCATTTATGGAAAAGTGTAAATATGGGATAATTTAGTTGTGTTGCGAATGGATCTTTTCAGTGATGGTGTTTAATATTTTATTTGGACAAATGGACAAGGTTGAAGGTGAGTCTTTGAAACTGTTCAATTTATCTGTTTGGAGTTGCACATGTACATGTTACTCTAAGTTTCTAACTATTACTGATAGTTCTTCGTTTTTGGTGATTTCAGGACGATTCCGTCGTGTCTTGTAAACGTTTTTTTTTTTATCAGTTTACACTATCGGTTTGGGTCAAGAACTTGTCAATAAGATTTGATTGTTTGTCAACACTTCGGAAAATGTTTAAATGGGTAGAAATAGAAGCTTATCTTTAGCCTTAGGGCAATTAAGTTTTTGATACCGGTTGTATATTTGTTTAAATTATGTATTATGGTAGTAGCAATAAACTAAAGTAATGATTATTGGTGTCTGGATAGATATGTACTAACTGACCACTATAATATGACCCTATAACATTTCATTCCTGGACATTTTTTATTGATGTATCTCATTAGTTTCTAGTTAAGATGTGGACATAATAACTTAAAGCGTGGTAAATTCATAATTAAAAATCGGATAAAATTATGAAAACTAGAAATTCTTAGAGAGTTTTACGATTTTCAACTTAAAAACTTTTTACTGATACTGACAAACATGTAACTTGTTTGTTCATCTATTCATATTGTAAAAAAAATACTCCTCCTTGTACATGTGTGTTATTAGATTTCTTCATGCAGTAAAATATTTAAGACAAATATTTTTCCAGCTTCATTTCAGTGTCTTGTCATATAGACAAATATTTGTTTGTCTTGTTACTGTGGTAGTTTGATGACCTCAAACAAGACAAACAGCAATTTGTCAAAACTGCACCTGATATTCCAGGTTTGACCTGTGACTGATGGAGATACATCTCTTAATTACTCTACGTCAACCATATGTTTTACCTGGGACTATTATCCCAGGTTTAACTGTCCTTAAATAACACTTTTTTAGTTAGAAAATGTAGAGCTCTAGACATAATGTTTTGTGTGTTTTAGGGAACAAAAGTTTAAAGTTGTCTTGATACCACATCACCTTATTTTTATCTACAAAGTATTCAATTAATTTGACCAAATTTTGGAAGTTTTATGTTTTACATGTATCACACTATTGTGCACTGTTATTTATTGATATATATTTTATTGCAAAATATATAGAAATTATTTATAAATTTTTTTGTATTTTGAATGTTGAATAATAATGGTTGAAATAATTTATTTGTATAAAAACAACACCCGTCTGAATGCTGACTTGGATAGTTATAAAATGGTGATAAAAAACAATCTTTTGAATTTTAACATTTTTCTTTCTTATTCAAAATGTTGATAATATTAATAGATCAAGGGAATAATATATGTACATAAATTTTCACTATTTACCCTCTATGATTTACTTTTTTAGTGGCCAACAATTAATTCTAATCCAGTCTATGCATGTGTTAAAGAAAGTTTAAAATTACAGGTGTTCATCATCAATTTTTTATCGCCCACCCCTCCCCCCACAGTGTCACTATACATGTATACTTGCTATAGCTTATCTAACTATTTCACATATTTACAAAGCTGTCTAAACAAACTATTTTCACACTGGTCCTAACTTCAAATAATTACTCATTATTGATTGCAGCTTTCACTTGCTGTTATGTAACATTACCCCAGATATTATCCAGTCAATAATTATTAGCCAGTCAATAACTTAGATCAATATCTACTTGAGTGATTTCACAAATGGGTAACAATAAAAGGCCCTTTGAACTGTCTACTGACAAAGTTACTTATTAAATGTATGTAATTATTGTCTTATTAGTATTAATATTTAATTATTGAAAAGTACATGTAGATAATACCTGAGACTGTACTGTAACACATGTTATACAGAAAGTACTACCATGTCAGATAATCCCATGTCAAAACAAGTACAAAAAAATGAACATGTTCCTGGTGCAAACTTATTAGATTTGATATAACAATACAGGAAATAATTATGAATGCATATTTTGCTTTTTTTCCTCATATATACAGGTTAAATTAATTTAGATATTCTTTTTTTAAATGGATTTTATTCAAACTACTGTATATGCAATTTGACATTCAGCATTGGTGGTGAAGAAAGTATATGCTATTTTTTCTAGAAATTAGCATTTAGCATACCTTATTTCTTTTATTTTCCATAGCCTTAATCACACTAAGTCCACATACAAGCCTGTAGAATATTTGTAATTAAGTTTGTGGTTCACCTGTATCCATGAAATCCAAGAAATTTAGTAAATTATAATAATGAATCCACTGTATAACGATTCCAAAGTTAGATGGAAATCATTTGTTGTTGAATAAAACAAATCTAACAAAACTTATAAAATAGAAAGTGATTTTTATGGCAGAGTTTATCAGTGAATTTTGGAAAATGCTAATTGTAGTGTGATTGCCAATTGGAACAACTATCCAACCCAATGACCTAATGACCTAGATGTTAGCAATTGTATGTCACAGTACAGCCTTCAACAATGACCAAAACCAAAACCTATATTGCTATTTTTAAATAGCCTTAAATGGGGTTCTGATCCAGGATCCCGCTTACTGTCTTGTCAGATTCCCGTATCCCGCTTACGCTATGTACGTAAGCAATTCTCATTTTATTGTAATTTCCCGTGTCCCGCTAGACTTCCTTTCCCATTTTCACGGCACAATGACTTTCACATGTCACGCTTACAAAAAATCGGCAATCCCGGGTCACGCTTAGACCCCAATGAGACCCACTTAAATATAAATTAGACTGACATACAATTCAATATTTTATCTCTCAATGATATACAATTAATAAGTAGTAGAAATCAAATTTATTAGGATAGTTTATGGTTTGATCATTGTTAGTATCAGGTCTATAACTGGAGTAATCATCTTCTGAACATGTGAATACATGCACATGTATGGGTTGAAAATATCAGTCTAATTAATGACCTTTAAAAACCCTTGTAGAATAATTACCCCTTATTTGGAAAACCATTAAGGATGTATTCTTCTGATGTTTCAGTCTCATTGAAATCTCGTTCTGGAATTATTTCCAAAACATGTGATACAAGTGGAAAATATCAATAAATTTAAAAAATATTATAATCAAACTTAACTTTAAAATTGTGAATTTACAATAAGTAGTTTTTGAATAATAAAATTTTCAAATTTTATAACCAATCAAGTCAGTCTCATTTAAGCCAAAATGTTGACAAAATGGATGAGGGGTACAAGAAATAATTTTACCAGATACATGTACATCCCATATCATTATTTTCTTTTCAAATTTCTTAGATATGTATTTGTTCAATCATTTATAACAAAGATGTTGAAATAATATGCTTTTTGTTCTAAAAAAAGAGAAAAATCCCAGATTTACAAATTTGACAACATGGTAAATTTGACATGAAAAAGCAACAAAATTTAATAAAACTTTCTTATATTAACACCTACCTATAGTTTTTTTTAAGTTAAATTTATTCAAATTGTATGAAAAAAAGTTTAATTGTGAAACTGTGATTGTTTTCATGATAATAGCCCAAAAATGGGTAAAAATGGATGAAAAATGGAAAAATCTTCAAAATGGGGTACTTTCAAATGGCTGTAGCAAAAAAAGAAGTGCACCACCATATAATTTTTTCTTCACCAATTATTTTTTTTACAGTCATAAAAAAAATTAAACCCAAAAATCAGGTTTTAGAAAAAAAGTTTAATTCTAGAAATTTTTGGCTCCTCAGAGGTGTACATCCTTAATAGTCATAATTTCACAAAAAAAAAATACACTGAAAACATCACATGCATGTACAATTGATTATTTCACATAGGCTTTGATATAGCTGTACTTTTGACACAAAGTATCATATTTTAATAAAATATGGTGTGGTTTTTCAGAAATTATTATTATGTGACATGAAAATGACTGCGGTTTTCTCCAGCTTTATAACTTCTAGCTATTTTTGTGGTTGGTTGAATATGATACTCCGCCAAACAAAGTAAGGAGATCTTCAATTTATCATGTCTCGTGACCTTTATCCTTTAAACTGTTACTTGATACTTCTAGGTAGAATGTTGCATGCAATCTTTATTGTGTATCATTGGATATACAGTGATACAATATAAAAAAGTCCTTTGTATCAAGCTATATAAAAATGTTGGCCTTTGATCATAATGATTTGTTAAAAACTATAGCCAATAGCTAAACTTGAAGCATGAAACAATCAGCAAGACAATGTTTACCTCTAGTACATGTATTCAACAACTTAATGTATTCAATCTATACCAGTATAGCAAACTGATAAATTAAGCATTTTCATATTTTGCTTGATAACACGATTGCACTATATGTTTTGTTTAGTTGAAATATAAATGTATATAAAGAAAGATATAAATGTATATAAAGAAAGTTAGATATAAATGTATATAAAGAAAATTTAATAAATGTATATAAAGAAAGTAAGATATAAATGTATATAAAGAAAGTTAGATATAAATGTATATAATAAGATATAAACAAGTCTAAATTGAAAACAACGTTCAAACCTATGATTGCATTGGATAAAAACCGCAATTTTTATACGTTTGCATGCAAAACAAATTTCTTGGTAGAGGGGTCTAAATACAGTAATTATAGATATACATATATGATTAAGAAAGTTAGATATAAATGTTTATGATGAAGAAAGTTAGTTATAAATGTATATGATGATGAAAGTTATATATAAATGTATATGATGAAGAAAGTTAGATATTATTAGTTTCATGGTGTGTTAGTGACCTAATAGGATATATATGGGGTCAGTAAATTCCATATGGGATGAGAGCGAAGCTCGAATCCCCATATGGAATTTACTGACCCTATATATATTGTATTAGGTCACTAGCACACTGTGTAACGAATTTATCTTACTGGTATTTAGACTAGCGGCTTATCAAAGTGATTAAGTCTTCAATACTTAGTATAAAGAACCTACTTCCATTTGTCTATACAAAAAACAAATGCCAACAATAACAACTTGTTAGCTTTAAATTTGTTTTATGAA